ATAAGTTGTATAATCTGTGATAATAATAATAAATAATGGTTCCCTAGGAACAGGGTTCCATAGAGATTACATATATTTATTTAATAAGCATATAGTAAATTTAAAAGTAAACTACGTACACGTCATCAATAAAACAAAAAATTTACGCATTGGTACCAACACTAAATGACTAAATCGAAGTCTGTAATTGAATATTTGAATGCATTTTAAACATCTACAGTTGGCAACAATTAAGATGTTGTCATATTTACATTCAAATATTTCATATTTAAATGACACATAAAAAAGAATTTGACGTTTTAGAATTTCGAAGCTGTCAGTTGTGTTTTTGAATATTTCGTTTAATTCTTGTATTATTTCGATTATTTTGTTTGTTGTTTGTGTTATTTTATATCGTTTAAGTTTTCATTGCCGTTTTTGTGTTTGTTATATATCGTTTTTTGTGTTTCCTATATTTAAAATGCCGAAGCATTTAAATAGTCGGAGTCAAGAGTTGGTGTCATCCTTAATACGCTATTTTGAGGCAGAACGGGATAATAATGGACCTTTGTTACCTTTAACAGCTGTTAGAGAGGTAAATAGAATTATTATTAATTATATATTAGAATATTTAACAAAATATATGTTGGATACATAAAATAATAATATATGTATATACCAGAGACTGACTTTAGATGGCAAAATGTCTTTAAAAATGGCTAAAAACATACTTTTGGCGGTGCATCATATAGGTTATAAAAACTCAGACTTTTGACATTTTGGTATTATTCATGTAAACGCCATCTATCGCCCTGTAGTGGCACTACCACTTTCCCTTGATGCAAGGATTTTAGCATCACATTGACAACCGTGCCCGATCAGCTGATTGATGACGTGTACGTAGTTTACTTTTAAATTTACTATATATATATAGTCGCGGCCAAATCTGTATGGGTGCACGTCATCAACGGCATATGACGTCAGCGTTAAGGTCTATTCATACGTGCCCAGACACAATCTAACGCTCGTGTATTGTTGACTGTTTATAGCGGTGGGGGCTGTTATTAAGATGGAATTATAACGTCCTTGTATAATCTTCTGCACTATCTAATTAGGAGTTTGTTACAGGCAAATTTTTATTAAATGTGTTTAAAGAGAAAACAAACGGAGTTTATTACATTTTTATTACAAATGCACATAACAAAAAAATACTAAATTATCAGAAACACAAAAATAATAAATTACCAGTCGTCCTTGTCATCAGAGCAAACCAGGTCAGAATTGAATTTTGATTATTTCCCCAAATTTATTATTAAGGGCGCAATGTCTTCGAAATCTAATAACGGCTAGTTGCCAACAGGCCTTATATCATTGTTTGCACAATCCAGGGATTGAATCTTATAAACATAATGTATAATATTATTTATAATAATTTGCAACAAACGATGCTTCCGGACGAAATGTCACAATTACAAAAATACGTCAAATATAAAATGACAGCGACCCATCAATAATATTGAACGGTGCGCGCCAGCCTTAAGCTATTACCAACTGGCACACACAAAAATTACTAAGTGAATGGTTTTATTTTGATAATTTCGTGAAAAAACGTTTTAAAACAAGGAAATTGTTACAGTTCTTGGTAAACAATACGCAAATGAATGATTTCTTTTTAATAACACATCAGAATTACGCCTTAAAAAAGCAAATTTAGCGGCAGTAACTTTACAATTCAAAGTTGGTAATGCTGACGTCATTATATCTCATTGATGACGTGCACCCATATAGATTTGGCCGTGACTATACTACTTCAGTAACTCAATCTCGAACAATAATGTTAAATGCTGTTTAAATTTAGACGACTTATTTGTTTGACGATTATTACTGAATTGAATTGTTTACACTTTTCACGTTAATCATTACTTAAATGTGTATTTATTGTATCTAATAGATACAATTTATATTTACAGGGACTGTATGAAATTTATTTCTTCATTCGGATTAACACTGTTTATTGGAAAACCGGTAAAAACTCAACCCAGGATTTCCTCTTGAAATACACCCAACAACACAACAAATCGTGCCACGTTTTTTTTTCGATATTTTTTAACATTTTTCGGCTTTATTCTCAAAAACACTCGTTTGTAACACACGCGTTTTACAGCTGATTATAAAAAGTTCTACTTTTGTTACGATGATAACAGCCGAGTGGTGGCGCTACTAGCGATACTTCTTTAGCGTATAGAACAAATTTTTATTTTAAAGTTTATTGTAAGTTTTCTATTTACTTGTTTTGATGCTATTTTTCCATAAATATTTTGTAGTTTCAATAATGATTATGTTGTGCAGTAAAACTTTAAATTTGTAGTAAAATTTAAGAAAAACCCACTTTAAACCCCTGAACCATATAATATAGACCTACTTACTTTCAGAAATGTTATTGTTGGTCTTCAGGTGTTCCAACAAACCTTTGATATTCTTGTCCTTAACGTTATTTTCGTTGCTTAAAAATTTAAGTAACTTTTCAAAGTTCTGGTCCCAATTATTTAGTAGCCCATCCGCATTATCAAAGCAAACATTAAAATCCATATCAATCTATAAGTACAAAATAATAATATTACCTATAAATATTAAAAAATTAAATTATACCAATCGGTAGCCTGTCGGATTTTTATAGAAAGGCCATTTCTGCATTATGGCATTAGTACTCCCAAAACTTTTTAAATCATTTAATCGATAATTACTGCAGGCCTTCCAGGTGTTATCAAATTGTTCAGCAGTTAAATTACCAAACTTTAAGGCCTTTAGGCAGGCTTCCGCGTCATCTTCGGATTCTAAAAGACGATACTTAGATTAAAATTTTATTCACATATGGGTGAATCTCACGAAATGTCCCCCGATGGCGTTACCCCGTGATATTTAATAAAACTAAATGAGTTTGACCTACATTTTTATTGTGTTTTGTTCTTTCATAATTAAGTAGATATTACAGCTCAGGTTCCAGATTTTTAACCGCAATTACTAATTTTTTACAATGTTTTAAAAGTCTAAAACCTATCCTCCGTGACTGTTACTCTTTCTAGGTTAACCTATATGTTTTCAAATATCTGAGGTAGTAAAAGCATACTAAAAATATCAGTTCACTAAGTGAACTAAAACATCCAAAGCAATCGAATCAAATATAAAATATTATTAAAAATTAAAAGAAATAATTTTTATAACCCTTTATGTAGGTGTTACGAAAATTGACTCTATCCTCCGTGAATCTGTTTTTGCTTTAAATTTTTTGCAACGGATGGCGCTTTAATCATTTTAAATAAGTAAAAACCTCTGTTTACGACATTATAGATGCATGTGATTCCTGAAGGTTAGTTAGAATTTATATGCAGATGAGTGTTGCTGTTTTATAATTCAAAAGTTCTATTTAAAAACCTATCCAACGTGAAGTATAATATCTCAGTAAGTAATTTTTTTATAAATATTTCATTTATGTACAATTGTATTTTTAAAAATATTAAGGTGCCAAAAGAAACAACAACTTATTTCAATTATACAAAGGGATGTTTAAAAAAAACATAGGAAATCCTAACTTCCGTAAAGCTATCTTCCGTGAAGCTCTAATATTTAAAATGTATTTCTTAAAATTCTTGCATTAGTGCAGAACCACTTATGTTATGTTATTACTAGGCCTGGTGGCTTCCCAAAAACCCCATTCTACACGGTGGTCAAAACTTAAGTATAGGACGAACAAAAATGCCAACCAAAACTGATAGCATACTTTGATTATAGACCCTTTTGGTAACACTAACATGTATTTATCAAAATCCCAGCTGATCCTATTTTAAAGTTTTGCAAACTTTTTTGTTTTTCTATTTCTATATATTATTTTGCAGTTATTGTACTAAAACTACCTGTACAATTTTAATAAAATTAAGCAAAATAATAAACTTTGTATCATTTAAATTACTTTACTCCCCAGCATTAATTTATTGAGTCACCTATTATTTTTTACCACTCAAAACAAAACATAACAAAAAAAAGATTTATATCTTAAATATTTTTTATAACAAAAAATACTGGAAGTTTGTCTATGAAATAATTACAACTTGCAAATTTTGTAATACAATAATTGAGGTGGTTATGAAAAAAAAATGCTATACGTTATAACGCAAGTGACATTTTGCTTTAGTTGTTTATTTAATGTATACTTAAAAATAGTATTTTAAAATGAAAATTAAACCGAAATTCAAGTTAAGCCATGAAGAAAATCGAAAGAAGGTATGTGCTGGCTGTGGAGACAAAATTGTTTTTGGTAATCGAAAAATTCAGAGTTTAGGGTTTCTGATAAAATATAAAAAATACTGCAGACTTTTTCAAACGAACACTTTAACTTAAGTGATTCAAAATTACCTACTTCAATATGGTAAAAACGGTATTTTTGCATAGCCGCAATTGCCAAATTTTCAAAATTTAGAAATTGCTGGAGAATTTCGCGGCAGCCAAGCATTTATGTGCTTTATCTGCAAAATGGCAAGATATAAAGGCCATAAAAAATTATTAAGGAAAGAGGACGGACGAACGAACTAAAGTTTTGATATGCTCTTCTTTTCTAGGGGATATCTGAAGAATTTAAAAATACTGTTTCCATGTTAAAAACAATTCCATGTAAAACCCAAGAAAAAGTTTTACTGAAAATTTAAGGCAAGCAGTAATCGATTTTGCTTCAAAGAATCTTTAGTTATTTATTAGTTTTGTATTAGGTACCTTAAAACAATAAATAAGATATTGCAAACTGTATTTTACATTATTTTGTTTTTATAATGTAATTTATATAACTATGTATCTGCCAAATTTTTAAAAACATTTGATAATGGTACTAGAGTATTTTATTTAATAAAGGATCAGCTGGGATTTTGATAAATACATTTTTGTGTTACCAAAAGAGTCTATAATCAGATTATGCTATCAGTTTTGGTTGGCATTTTTGTTCATCCTATACTTTAGTTTTGACCACCGTGTCTAGACTAACAGTGAAACAACCAAAAATAAAAAATAATCATTTTCACTTGGGGGACATCTCAATATATTCACCCATATCCACAAAAAACGAATTACCAAATGTTTTTTCAATTCTACACTTCTTGGTAGACTTTTTTTTTGATGTTTCATCGACAAAATGTTTACCGACGGCGGCCTTAAAAGAAGTTTTTAAATTGCAATATTTGTTATAAATTCTTCCTCTCTTGCTGGAACGATAGTACTCCTAAAATGTAATTTTATGAATCTGTTTAAAGAAGGGCAATAAACATTTATACCAATTTTTCATTTGGAAATCTGTCCAGAATTTCCTTTTCCAGTCTATAGCTGATCGCCAAGGTGATTGGAACGCCTTTATCTTCGAAGAATTGGGCCACCAAGTTTATCAACGAGGTCCGCTGATCGTCTTGAAACTTTAGGAATTTATTGTAATACTCCACAAGCATGGCACCTTTGGGAGTTTCGCTTAGTATATTGAATAAAAATATGTCGCAATTGTCCGGCTGCTTATTAGGGATGGAATACGGTGCGAAGCGCGGTTCATGGCGCGGTGGAGTCGAAGCCCTCGAAGCACACGAAGATGCTGGTGGAGACAATGGAGATGAAGATAATGGTTTTGATAACACATCACCACTATAATAGTGACCTATTGGCATTCCAATGGACTGCCTCCATTCTTCCAATTTGTGCTCAAACAGAATTTGGGTCCCCATCTTAAAATTTTTTAAAAGACGTTCAATGTGGTGATGTTTGATAACCATTAACACATCAACGAAAACCTTTTGTGCTAAAACAACAAGCATAATTCAACAGATGATAAGAAATCGACGTTATTGGGTAATGGGTAGAAGATGAAGAAAGTGGCAAATAAGCTGGAATAAAAGGTGCTTACATTGGTTTACCCTAACTTACCAACTAGGTGCTCCACAAGAAATTCTTGGTTCCATTCAGATAATAATTTTCTTAAGTCCTGTGTTTTTTTATCTTCAATAGGTTTTGCAGAATATGATATGTATTGTGAAGAAGCTTCCTTGGGACAGGAACTGGTCTGATCCATTCTGTAGTAAAAACTAATTTAAATTATTAAAAAGTATAATTTTTAAATAGTCATAAAATTATATTATAAATATATGAATCAGTGAAAATAACATTGCTGGCGCAAATTGACCAAAAATTTTTTATTTTTTAAATTTTTTTATAAAATAAAATTTTTGATAAGTTTTTTAAACAAAATCTAGTTATTGAACCGATATATCGATTTTATTTTATATTAATTTATCAAATTTTTTGTAAACAATTTTTTTTCGTCTTCTGGACCTCTTGAAAATATGCTTATATGCTTATATAGTTACGTTAGCGTGTGTATTTTATATAATATATGGTAATTATTGTGGTTTTAATTGTAAATGTAATTCAAGAACAAATCGTTGCATTTTCATGTTTTGTCAAAGGATCCAATTCGGTACAAATATTTGTTGGTGCAGAATTAACTAATGATAACTTTAACTAATACAATTTATATTAAAATTTTGACACTTTTAAGAAATCTAACAAAAAATAATTGTTGTACAAACTGAACCTTAAAATTAAAAATTTTTATATTTAAGTCCTCTGAAAAAACGACGACAACTGCATTTTAAAATAGTAAATGATAACATATCTACGAATTCATTGCAATATAATATTATATATTACATAATATAATACCCTTTTTTGGTATTTTACCATTGAGTGAAGACACAATCAATGTTTCTAATAATGCTTAATACTGCTTGAATTTAGACGACTTATTTATGATTTTAACGTTAATAAATGACTAAAATGTTTTATTTATTGTATCTTATGCAATTTATTTCTTCATTCAGATTTCCACTGTTTATTGGGTAACCGGTAAAAACACAACCCAACATTTCCTCTCGAAAAACGCACAAGACAACAAATCGTTACACGTTTTTTCTCTTGATATTTTTAACATTTTCTGGCATTATTCTCTTTTTTAGCGTATAATACTCGGTATAATACATTTAAACAAATTAATTTAAATTATAAAAACAGCTTTTTATTAAAAATATTCTAGATTTTTGTTTATAAACATAAATATTATTTATTTCTTTAATTGATTAAGGTAAACTATTAATAGTAGGTATATTTTGTATGAGGTTTGCGTCTTGAGTCCCCAGATGAGAGACTTAAATCATCCGAGTGAATTATTTTTAAATATAGATAAATAAAATCTGACATCTGTCAAATGGTCAACCTCACTTTTTACCAATTTTAAATACTCATGCACTTGAAGAATCTTAATTTATTTTAACTCTATTATAGGGAACATAAAAATTCTGTGCATATCTGGTACACTTTGAATGAATATCAGACTCAAAAAACTTAATTTGTTTAAAAATACATCGACACATAATTCAAATAGACAGACAAATAACTGTTAAAATTTTAAATTTTCCCCAAAGGCAACGAAGCAACGTAAACGACAATCGACCTGTCCATAATAAAGACTTATAAGTTGTTCTCCGTTTAAAATCATCCTAATATTTCTAAACAAATAATTAACTTACTTATTATAGCATAACAGTGTGATTTCCAATTCAAAAACCCATTAATATACGCTAAAGAAGTATCGCCAGTAGCGCCACCACTCGGCTGTTATCATCGTAACAAATGTACAACTTGATAATCAGCTGTCAAACGCGTGTGTTAGTGCTAATTCATAATGGACGTAACCATAAGATGACCGTAAAACGTAATAATGGTGATAATATCACCATAATTTGTACGTAACGATGAGTTGTGTTTATAATCAACGTATGCCTTATGTATATATTAATAAGGCGCGCATGTCCAAGTTCACTAAAATGGCAGCATTGGCAGATTTTGTCTAATTATTATGTCTTAAAACTTAAAAGTTCTAAGACATAATAATTATAATTATAAATATAAATTAACTTAAAACTATCAGTGTTATGGTTCTTTAGATTGTTTGTTCTGTAGATACACCAGAATACACTTGAAAAAGATCTGTCATCTGTTTGCATAGCTACTACCCTGATTGCTACCAACAATGTTCTAGTGAAATCATGAAAATTACTAAAATTCACAGATAAGAAACCCGTAAAGTTGAGATGATTTCAACTTTACGTATTTTTTACGGTCACCCGTAAGATCTTATGTTCGAACGTAATACGTAAAAATTACGGCTATTCATTATAAACAGGCACACTGGTTTTGTTAATATTCAACTTTACGTTTTACGTATTTCTTACGGGCATCTTATGGTTACGTCCATTATGAATGAGCACTTACAAACGAGTGTTTATGAGAATAAACCGGAAAATGTTAAAAAATATCGGAAAAAACCGTGGCACGATTTGTTGTGTTGTTGGGTGTATTTCGAGAGGAAATCCTGGATTGAGTTTTTATCGGTTTTCCAATAAACAGTATTAATCCGAATGAAGAAATAAATTTCATACAGTCCCTGTAAATATAAATTGTGTCTATTAGATACAATAAATACACATTTTATAATTTTACACCTTTCACGTTAATTATTACTATAGTAATAATTAACGTGAAAGGTGTAAACATTTCAATTCAGTAAAATCGACAAACAAATAAGTCGTCTAAATTTAAACAGCATTTAGCATTATTAAAAGCTTTGATTAAGAATTCTTTAAAGTCGTCACTCAACGGTAAAATACCATTAGGTATATTATGTATTACATATAATTTTATGTTGCCATGAATTCGTAGGTATATTTTGTTGTTTAAAATGCAGTTGTCGGCGTTTTTTAGAGAACTCAAATATAAAAATGGTTGATTTTAAAGTTATGTTTGTGCAAAAATTATTTTTTACTAATTTCTTAAAAATGTCCAAACTTAAATATAAATTATATTAGGTAAAGCTATCATTAGTTAATTCTGCACCAACAAATGTACTTACCGAATTGGATCCTTTGGCAAAACATGAAAATGCAACGATTTAGTTCTTGAATTTTATTTACAATTAAAAACACAATAATTCACCATGATCCCTTAGATAAAATACACACACTAACGTAACTATATAAGCATTTAAGCGTTGAGTTTTTTCCTTGCAACGTAAAACATAAATAACGTGCGCGATTTAGCTGTGCAATTGAACAAAATTTGTCGAGTAAGACTTCTGCCTTCCTCTCTTTTGTGAAAAATCTACCTATTTATTTAAAAATGACGTACAATTCGTATGCTTTAAGTGTATTGTTGACAATTCTTAAATTCACGCAAGGCTTTTGAAGTCCACCAGATGGCGCACTTTTGAAATAAAATTCGTTATTTGATAAGAAAAGATTTTTATGAAAAACGCTCGGACACGTAAACTTTAGTTTTTTATTTTAAATTTTATAATTATAATTTTATGTTTTTTGCCCTCACCACATTATGAACATTTATCTTAAATAACAACCCCACTTTTTTTCATTGAAAATTGATAGTATCTAGTATGTTCTGTGAGGTACACATTTTTCTACGTCGATACCCGCATTGATATGAATTTGTTATTGTTATCCTATTTTGTGTTGTGGCTTTTGCTATTTAGCTATTAATGTTGTTTTGTTTAGTTGGTTTGATTAACATGATACATAGTAGGGTGGAGCGAAAAAATAATTTTTTTCTTCCTTAGCCTGGGGGTGGAATTTGTAGCCTATAAAAAAAAATTTTTGAAAAAAAAAAATTTTTTACTCAACGTCTTGAGGTGGCCCACTGATTTTTTAAATTAAATTTAAGTTAAAAACGAGTGATCGTAAAATTTTTTTCAAAAGTGTTCCGGAAACTGCGGAGTGTCCTCTTTCTTGCTAATTAACAGTTATGAACTTTGTGGTCATTATTGTTGTTTTTTAAAAAAATCCAAAATAGTAACATGCTTTTCTGAGGCAATAGAGCGAATTTCGAGTTGAACACGATCAAATTTGTTTATTTTTAGATAAATTTAAAGATTACAAGCCAAAAAAATTCAAAAGAATTTTAACTTAAATTTAATTTAAAAATCAGTGGGCCACCTCAAGACGTTGAGTAAAAAATTTTTTTTTTTTCAAAAATTATCTTTTTTATAGGCTTCAAATTCCACCCCCCAGGCTAAGGAAAAAAAAATTTTTTTTTCGCTCCACCCTAATACATAGCACCTGTGAATTCTTATTATGCCGTTTTTGGGTTTGTCCCATTTGCATTGTTTACATAAAAATTGTTTGTTTAAATTTGTATTATTAGTGAAACATTTCATGCTTTACTTGTTTTTTACTCTTATACTCATATACCACCGAGTAAACGTATTATAAAAATATTAATTTTTAAGAAACTTTCATCAAAATCCAGTTATCTTTTCAAGAATAACTAGATTTTGTTTGAAAAGTTACCAAAAATTTCATTTGTCAATAACATTGCTAAAAAATAAATAAACAAAAATGTTTTGTTGATTAATTTGTAGGTATGGTCAAATAGAACAGTTTTTTCAACATTTTGACAAAAACCAATGATAGCTAATTTTATCGTGCTGATTTCACGAATTCTAACCATTAAAAAAGAAGACACAATGTAATAATTATTATAAACATAAATTACTTATAACCGGGTACAATATACTAGCCATAGGTACAAACTATGTAAAAATTTACCAAAAAGTTTAACATCAACTAAAATAAAACTCCATAAAATTTTGAGGAGTCCATAAGAAAGTCCCACTTCAAATTTAAAATTTGCATTGTTACACTGTGTCATTTTTGTAGTTTAGGTATATTTACACAAAATGGCCTGCTTTTTCTGATGGAATCAGGCAACCCTTGTAAAAATCATAGCAACACTTGTTGCATGTTTCAACATGTCAACTGTTAAACAACTGTTGCTATGGTGATAATACAATAAATAGAACAATGCTTACCCTTTATCAAGAAACATTTCATCTTCAGCTTCAAATTTTAGTTTGACTTGCTCAGCTCCATCAAAATCCACTTCATCCAATTCTTGTGCAAGTTCTTGTTTTATTGCTATCCCAGAAGTTGAAGGCATTTCCTGGTCAGCAGCAGTACTTGGTTTATTATAATTCACTGAAATATCTCCTTTGTAATCGTCCACTAGTTCTTTTTTAACGCCTATTTGCTCCATTGTGCAAAAAAACTTGGGAAAGCTGTAAAAAACAGTAGAAAGCCTTTTTAAATTTTCAAACAACAAATTAAACGTATGTTTACTTACTTTTACAATGTTAATACAACGAAAAATAGGGAACTGTCGTAGATTAGCCTATTTTGCAAGAAATGTGTGCCAAACTCCAATCAACGATCTATAATAATAATAAGTTTATAACACAAAATAGTTATAGTTTGTTGATGTGAATATTATTTGGTTCTGAACACAACATATAACAAAAAACATAAGGATGGCATTTGTTTTGAATGACTATTTTCTTCTAGATTTTGTTATTTGACAGAAAACCAAAATATCCCTAGAAATATCACCAGATATTCAAAAAGACCGAAATTTGCCGAAGTTTGTCGAGTGCGAATGATTGAAGACCTTAGAGTAGGGAAGATAATAGGGGCGTAATTGGACCGTTGTTTTGCGAAATTGCCATCACTCAGTATTTATAGTATAATATACTATATATATATATATATTATATACTATTTATATATGGGTAAAACCCAAAGAACACCTCGCTATTCAGTCTAGTGACTAGACTAGACTAGACTAGACTAGACTAGACCATAGAAAAACGTTGAGTGAAGAAGTACTCACTCATTAATCAATGCTTCTATAAGCTTATAACTTATAAGTAAGCTCAAGGCCATTACCCCTGAACCATAGAAAAAACCCCTGAACGGGGGTACTGCTCACCACAAAATTAAGTCTAGAAGTTTTGTGGTTGTACCAAGTACTACTACAGGTCATGTTTATGATAATTATAAAGAATAGAACAAGGTACTATGCTCCACACTTCAAAGTCCCACCACGTGACCAGGTACGGAACGCAGTCTTTTGAAAATTTGTCATTTAAGGCTTTTCAGGTTATGTATCTGTCAAAGTATAGTCAATGAAAGAAATAATATTTATACTGTTACCGTTCATGTTTAAGCGTTAAAAGTTTATAAATCTTTATAGTATCACAGTAACAATGGTTGGTTTAAGAGTTTAGGAGTATAAATACTGCATTTAATGAAATTCTAAAGTGTATAGTGCCAAATAAGTAAAATTTTTGTGCATTTGGTCTACATAATATGTTAATATATAATATAATATCTGGTTTTATCCATAAAATAGTTTTAACTAAACGGCATTTATTAAGAAAATCTAGCTTCTCTATTATGGAATAAGAATATCTGTATCAAAGGTAGGTTAATATATTATAACAAAAACGCTGTGACTACAGGCACGTTAACGTGCCGCGATTTGAAATGTTAAAGGCACGTTAGTTACGTCATAAACTCAAACCATCCCAAACTCAACAACACAACCCAACCGACCCCGCCCCATTGGCCCCCCCCCGCCCCATTGAACAAAAAACCCAACTAAAATGGGCAAATTTATGTTACGATAAAAATAAAACACTTTTTAACAAAGGAACAACATATTTATGAAATAAGAAAAGTTCGACAACTTCTAGTAGATTTTATGTTACGATAAAACTAAAACAAACCAACCAACCCAACCCAACCGAACACTGTTTAACAAAGAAACAACAAATTTATGAAATAAAAAAATAAAAAAAATTCGACAGCTACTTGGTTTCGAACCCCGGACCTCTCGCATGCCAAGCGAACGCCCTACCATATAAGCTATTTAGCTTGATGTCAAATATTAAATGGACAGGGAACAAAAACGGATTATAATTATGACGTAACTAACGTGCCTTTAATATTTCCAATCGCGGTACGTTAGCGTGCCTCTAGTCACTGTGTAACAAAAAATATCATCTAATTTTAAAATTTTAAGGTTAGAAAAATCTATTTTGATCAAAATAAATAAGTATTTTGGATTATTTGGAAGAGTGTGTTAATATGGTCATATAAATATAGATATACTAAATAATTGTTGAATATGGTTCAAATTAAATTAAAGCTTTTATACTCCTAAGTTAGGAGTCCTAACAACAAAACATGTGCATACCTCTTGGGATCGATCCCTACTTTAAGTTAGATTATAAGGAAACAAACAATTTTTAGAGATACATGCAATGTAAAAATATTTAATACTCCCATAACATGTGATTTTTGAAATTTTTAAAAGTTATAATGATTTTTTGATGAAGATAAAATTCAGTTGAAGCTATACGTAATTGTATTGACAAAACTTTATGTAGGTATACTTTAAGCTGGATAAGAAAGACTACTACAAGTAAAAATATTAGATATAGTATAATGTGGTTTTATTTAAATTTTAGAATTTATAAGGTTATTTATACCTAATGCTTGTTCGATGTAGATGAAATTTTGTCGAAGCTTTTATAGGTACTTGTATTGACACTATGGGTATATTAGCTGACAGTGTAAGGAACTTTAAGAAGGTTACCTATTGAATTTTTAAAAAGAATTTACAGTTTTTTAAAATTAAGTATCTAATGGTTTTATATTTGAAATGTTTAATATTGCTTATTTCCAAGAGCCAGTTGTTCAATTATGATGTCTATTTTGTTTTACTCCGGCATAAATATTTTCAACTGTAAAACTTAACTATTTTAAGATTTTTAAAATTAATTAAATATTAAAAGGGGTTAATTTTAAAGAAGGAATCTAAAAACAACACCTTAAAATTATTAAAATTTGCAAATTATTAAATAATTTTAAATAATGTTTTTTATTATTTTACAAATTTCTAAACTTATTTTTTTTCTATATGTGAGTTTTTGAACTTTTATCGATTTTAGATTCTTTAAATTTTTATTTAAAATATACTATTTTTTGTTTATTTAATTAATCAAAGATGTTTATATGTAGGTACTTTAAATAAATAAATATTTATGCCCAAGTAAAACAAATTAGTCATCCACTACCTAAATGTAAGCTGTAATTAAATAACTTGCTCTTGGAAATAAGCACCATGAGAGATCTCAAATATAAAACCATTAGGTAGGTATTGTAACTGTAAATTGTTTTTACAAGTGTTTTTGGAAATTCAATAGCTAACCTTCTTAAAGTTCCTTACACTAGGTGCTTTCCTTTTGCCACGATTCTTAGATATTCTTACCTCACCTTGGTTTATCTCACTTTAGAGACCGTTCCATTTGCAAAATGACAGGTAAGCCAAAGTGAGAATTTTACCTCCCCCCTTACCGATCAAGCACAACCTCCGGAGCACACTTACAAATGAGAAATTTTGATTACTTGGTGGTGGGGATAGATGCACGCCAAAAAGTGAGGTTGTACACTTTCTATCAAACAAAACAGAAGAAAATTAAAACAATATTAGTGATGGGCATAATCGGATTATATCAATAACCGATTATATCCGATACGATTATTTCAATAATCGGATGATAATTCGATTAAATAATCGGCGATTATAAATCGCATACTTTCATTCGGATTTCAATATCGGAATAATTTAATCGAATTGATAATTCGAATGAAAGTATGCGATTTATAATCGCCGTTTATTTTCGAATTAAGTAATCCGCGATTATTAATCGCATATTTTCATTCGGATTTCAAATTGAACGATTCATTCGGCGACTAGAATACCTACAATTGTAGGTATGACTATGTAAATAGTAATTTACGATTACGATGATACGATACGATTAAACTAGTATTTTCAGAATCGCTGCTGAATATTACATTCACTACATTCTATAAAATTAAAGAAAAAAAAAGGTATTTATTATTTTTTAAATTGGATTTATATTTTTAACTACCTGTATTATTTGATTCGACATTTTGTTCGTTAAGTCTTTAATCTTTGCGTTAAACCGTTGAGGGAAATGGTTAAACCACAGAACATAAAGCCTGAATTATAGATTGCCTTCCTTCCTTCCTTCCTTCCTCCCGTAGAAGATGAACATTACGTAATTGTCACCATTAACATTTCCCGTTTAGGTATTTTTAATACTTTGTGATAAAATTTTGCAATTATAGTAATAAAAAAAATCAAAAAATAAAATATTTTCTTAACAAAATCATATTTTTAAGTAATTTTAATATTTTAAATTATCAATAATTGTTAAGTTTAATTAAAATTAATAACGGGCAATGTTAATGGTGACAATTACGTCAAAAATGTTTATTTAAATCGTATTGCCAGTTATAGATTCCCGTACCGTACGGGCACGACTACGGGAGGAAGGAAGGAAGGCAATCTATAATTCAGGCTTAAGGGTTAAACTGTCAAGTGTCACTTTTAGAGAAAATAGGCTTACCAACCGTTCCTTTGGTCTATTTTAGGTAAGATGAGTGCGCGTAAGTGGCCTCGCTTATCTCACTTTTGCTTGGCTCACTTCAAAAATGAAAGGAAAGCACCTACTGTCAGCTAATATACCCATAGTGTCAATACAAGTACCTATAAAAGCTTCGACAAAATTTCATCTACATCGAACAATCATTAGGTATAAATAACCTTATAAATTCTAAAATTTAAATAAAACCACATTATACTCTATCTAATATTTTTACTTGTAGTAGTCTTTCTTATCCAGCTTAAAGTATACCTACATAAAGTTTAGTCAATACAATTACGTATAAAGCTTCAACTGAATTTTATCTTCATCGAAAAATCATTATAACTTTTAAAAATTTCAAAAATCACATGTTATGGGAGTATTAAATATTTTTACATTGCATGTATCTCTAAAAATTGTTTGTTTCCTTATAATCTAACTTAAAGTAGGGATCTCAAGAGGTATGCACAAGTTTTGTTGTTAGAAGTATAAAAGCTTTAATTTAATTTGAACCATATTCAACAATTATTTAGTATATCTATATTTATATGACCATATTAACACACTCTTCCAAATAATCCAAAATACTTATTTATTTTGATCAAAATAGATTTTTCTAACCTTAAAATTTCAAAATTAGATAATATTTTTTCTTATAATATGTTAACCTACCTTTGATACAGATATTCTTACTTCATAATAGACAAGCTAAATTTTTTTAATAAATGCCGTTTAGTTAAAGCTATTTAATGGATAAAACCAGATATATGTAGACCAAATGCACAAAAATTTTACTTATTTGGCACTATACACTTAGAATTTCATTAAACCAACCATTGTTACTGTGATACTATAAAGATTTATAAACTTTTAACGCTTAAACATAAATGGTAACAGTATAAATATTATTTCTTAGGATACATTATTTCGCTATTGTACCCAGCCAATAAGAACGCTCAGAGTGTTTGGTTCGCAAGTGGTGGCGTGCGTATCGCTTTGTTTTGGTTGTTTTGGCGCTATAACCTCACTCTGCATCTTTTTATAAATATAAAAAGGAAAAAACGTTAAAAACAGCACTTTTTATTGCTAAATTAAATAATTGGTGAGAGGTAGCTGTGAATATTATATAGATATCATGGAATCCAAAACTAAAAGGTATGTACTTATTTCTTTTGGGTTAGAATCATAAGTATTTAATTTTTATTATAACATTTTGTAGGGAGGATAAGGATAAATTATGTTGCAAGATTTGCGAAATTGAATTTTCTACCAGTGGCACAAGAAATAGACACATGAGGAATTTCCACTGCGAATTAATGCAAGAGAAGCGGGCAAAACATATAATGTGTCCAATGTGTACAGATAAAGAGAAATTTTCATTACACATTAATTTAATTAAACATTTGAGAAATATTCATGGCGTAAGTATTAATGAAACAATTTTAAATTTTAGGAATTCTGAAGAGTTGGCAATTTGGAGGGGACAGGAGAATAGAGAGGTAGATTATGCAGGTCATACAAGAAGGAAGCTTGCTAACGGTGATGAAATTATAGTATACAACTGCAACAGAACTAATTCTAGAGGTTTTATGACTTTGTGCCAATAAGTTAAACACAATGCTAGCATTTTGTTTTAGGATATACCAGCTTGTGTAAAAGCCGCAGTATGAAAGCAGGTGGTAGTATTCACATTAATGGAACATGTCCTTCTAGAATTTTGGTCAGAGTTTTACAAAATGGTAATTTAAACTTAATTAATATCATTTTCATATCAGTACTAAAATATCTTTTATTAGGATTGATTAGAGTAACCTTTACCAAAACCCATGTGGGCCATGACGATGAACTCAGAACAAAGAGATTATCAAAGGTTGAACAGGACAAGATTGTGGAGAAATTAGTTTCAGGAGTACCAAATGACAGAATAATTCAGGACGCAAGAAAAGTTAACAAGAGCAAATTAGAAAGAATAAACCTAATCACAAAAGGAGATATAGCATATTTAATTAGGAAACATAACATTGACAAAAAAAGGGATGTAGATGATATGACAGCTACTGCTTTAAAAATTGAAGAGTGGAACAGACAAGGAAAAAATCATGCATTTTTATTTAAAAAAGTTGGTAAGGATGTAATATGTTTTTTCTTTGTTATTTCAAATAATTTGGGTGCAAGTAGGTAGATAGTGGTGAAAGATTATAAGTAGGTAGGTAGTTAACTTTATAATAAATTTTAGGTGAATGTTATCCTGGTTTAAAGGATGAAGATTTTGCTGTTGGATATATGAATAATGTCATGGAAAAAAAATTAAGAGACTTTAGTCGAATTATATGTGTAGATGGAACTCATGGTACAAACAGAAGAAATTTTGAGCTGACAATAGTTTTAGTGAAAGATGAGAATAATATTGGATTCCCTGTTGCCTTTTTGCTTTCAAACAGGTTGGATCAAGTAATTCAAGAAATCTTTTTTAGTGCTCTTCTAACTAGATTAGGTGAAGCAATTGAAGTGGAATATATAATGAGTGATGACGATTCAAAATATTACAATGCTTGGACCAAGGTAATGAGTAAAGAAAGGAAACCCAGAAGACTTCTTTGTACCTGGCATATCATCAAGAACTGGAACATTCAGGGAAGATCAAAAATTAAGAATGCAAAAATTAGAGAAGAAATGAAAAAACAAATGAGAAAAATTTTGAAAGAGGTGGAAGCTACAAAGTTTGTCGAATTAAAAGAAAATTATTTTAGGCATTTAGAAGAGAGTGGTGAAAATGACTTTTTAAAATATTTACAAAAGTAAGAATATCTACCATCTAATGAATCAAATTACTTAAAATTACTATATTTTAGGTATTATTTTCAGAGCGAAGAAAGGATTATGATGTGGGCTCATTGTTATAGGATTAACGTAGGAATAAATACGAATATGGCCATTGAAAGTTTGAACAAGGTGCTAAAATATAACAAAATGTGTGGAAGGCGTAATCTTAGGTAGGATTAATACTAATTTGGGTTTCTAAAAAAATTTGTTATAGAGTAAGACATAATACCTATTTGTTTTAAATTTCTTCTAGAGTCGAAAAACTACTAGACCTATTGGATGAACTTGTAGATGACAAAATGTGGAAAAGAATTATACATACTGAAAGACCCAATGCAAATAATTACCAACATAAAATTACCTTAGAAGCACATAAAAAATCCGAACAAATGATTGGTAAAGTAAGTTTGTCAGAATTTGGAAAATTTAAAGTACTGTCTTGTTCAGTAAATGATAAATTTTATTTTGTATCTTACAACGTATTGTGCGACGAAGAATGTAGATCAGAATATTGTCATAAATGTAAGATATGTATACATAAATATGTATGCCAATGTCCAGAGAATACTGTAAAAACAATGCTATGTAAGCATATTCATGCTGTAGCATTGTTTGAAAAGGCGAGAAGCGACTCTGTTTTAGGTTGTTCAAGTTCAGAAGAAAATGGTGTTTTAAATGTTGATGAGCCTACAATTAGCCGATTACTCTACCAGGATGATGTTACTCATTTTATAAATGAGAGTTCAAAAAAACAAGTACATGAAATGACATCACTTGATTTCGAAGAACGACGAGAAGTAAGTTGCTGGATGTTTGGAAAAGCTTTTATTGGGGGTGGCACATTGTAATATTTATTGTAGATTGCATTAGATGAAATGTGCAGGGAAATTTGTGGTTTTGGTAGAACGTTAGGTGAAAGTTCCTTTAATAGGTTTATGGCTGAATTTAGAAAATTCAAATGTAGTAATATGGAACAATTAGATTCTGGAAAAATCTGTAAAAAAAGAAAATTAGAAAAGCAAACGTACTATCCAAATAAAAACAAATAAGTCAGTAAGACTCCTCAAAAGCTTATAAAGTTTTCTAAATTTCGTTTTTTTTTAGGTCAGGTGTATGTTTTTTTAAATTCTCCAATCAGCATATTTTGGTGAAGGGAATCTGTATATTCTATTATATTATTACCTTTAAATTTAAGTTTATTTAAATATAAGGCATGCACAGTAGATTCGATAAATGCTAGGTTGAAATAATGGGCGTGAATAAGGCAAAAGAGCGCTAACTTGGTTGGTTTGTTGGTTGGTTGGTTAGTTGGTTGGTAGGTTGGGTTGGTTGGTTAGTTTTAGTTTTATTTATTAATTCATTATTAATACTGTGCAGGAATAAAAACCTAGGAGGTTGCTATTATTTTACTAAGCATTCATTTGGGCGTATTAATGCAAAAGAACGCTAACTTGGTTGGTTTATTTGTTGGTTGGTTGGTTAGTTGGTTGGTTGGGTTGGTTGTTTAGTTTTAGTTTTATTTATTAATTCATTATTAATACTGTGCAGGAATAAAAACCTAGGAGGTTGCTATTGTTTTACTAAGTATATGCTCAATGTTCACAGCATTATTATCTACCTAGCATTCATTTTTTATACTGTGAAAAAATAATTTAAAAACCTAGCAGTTTATTCATACCCTTACTTTTATCTTTTTTTGGGTGTGGTATTAAATTTTAAGCTCAAAATTTGTATAAACAAAAACAAAATGATGCAAAAGTTTAATTTTGAGCTTAAAATTTAATACCACACCCAAAAAAAAGATAAAAGTTTATAAAATGTATTTAATTTTTAATATATTTTGCTTTAAAATAGATTTTTGTTTATTTTTTTAGTCTGTTGTACTACAATAATAAATTTATTAACATAAATCTTATAACATGTTTTATTTTTGCTCTTCCCACTCTTAATTGTTTCCAAAACATCACAAAATCCAATAGGAATATATATTTTAAATCACTTCTAATATTCTATTAATCCTTTTTATTGGATAAATATAGAAAACTTAATTATTAAATTATTCCCATCCATCATTTTAAATTTAGCGCGCCCGGCACCAAAATAAAGCGACAGGACGCCACCGCTCGCGAACTAAACACTATGAGCATTCTTATTGGCTGGGTACAATAGCGAATTAATGTATCCTTTATTTCTTGCATTGACTATACTTTGACAGATACATAACCTGAAAAGCCTTAAATGACAAATTATTAAAAGACTGCGTTCCGTACGTGGTCACGTGGTGGGACTTTGAAGTGTGGAGCATAGTACTTGTGCAGGATAACAAATATTGTCATTTTGTGTTGCCAACTGACATTTTGCGAGAAAAATTCCCTAACTAACAACGACCACAAAACAATTAAAAAAACCTAAATAAAAGTTAAAATCGAGAAAATAGTATAAATCACACGTTGCAGAAGGCTATTCTCGCACTCATTCGTTCGTCCACTCGCTCCTTCGTCGCTCGAGGCCAAATTTCGAATTCGTGCGAGAATATGTGGCCTTCTGCAACTTGTACTTTAATATACTATTTAATAATTTTTTTTGGGACATTCATTAAATTATTATTATTTTTCAATGGTAGGGAAAATTAAAGGGAATTTTTTTTTATTGGTAGGGGAAAAAAGGGAATTTTTATTGGGTTGGTAGGTACCAGAGATAAACTATCTATACAAAATGTTGGCAACACTGGCTTGAAGAAGAAGAAGAAAAAGCGTTAAAGTTTAACGGTTTTTCTATGGGTTAAGCTAATTTAAATGTGATGTCGATCATAGTAAATTAAGTAAAACTGATTTTAATTTATTTACAGTAAATAATCCCATGGAAGTGGACAAGGTATTTTTATTTGATGACTTTGTCACTAAAGATAGTATTTACCTTATAGAACCTAAGGTTGTAGAAAAAGGCAACCAATCTCTTTTAGACACTCAAACTACCTTTGAAAATATACAAAGTTCTCCTAAACCAAAAAATAATAAAGAAGAAGAGAAAAATGATTGTCGAGTTAAGTAAGTATTTAAAATTTAAAAATGTACGCACAATATATTTAAATGTTAATTGTTGGACAAAAATGGGCAGAAATATTTGGGTTTGTGTACAAATTGTGTCTATCCTTTCTACTTTTTTACTTTTCACAAACAAATGGCAATTTTATATAACTAACTGCATACAATTTTAAAGTTTGCATTTTAAACTTGTAGGGGCCCCTTTCATTCTCAGCACCCTCTGACTTGTCCTAACAAATTTTTAGCATTATGGGAATATAAACAAATAACTCAATTTTTAAAACTTTTCTTTATGCTTAAAAAACTTTAAACTCTACAAAGTTAATAAATGGTTTATTTTTTAATATTAGAAACTAGTGTTAAAAACATTAATTTTTTCTTTAGGGACGATATCGTTAAGTTGGAATACCCCCTGACCCAGTCTGAAAATAAACCTAAAACTAAACCAAATAAAGCTCATAATTCCATTGTGATATGTAATAATTCTCGAAAAAAAACTGTGATACCACAAGACCTGTTACCAAAACCAAAAAAAACAGGATACATTAAAAGTAACCCATCGACGACCAATCAGAGCGTAGCAGCATTTGTTGCGATGCTGCGATGTTGCCGTAGTGCTGTGCCGTGCCGCGGGTAATTTAAAAAATAGTGGTTTAAGTCTTAGATAGATATTCGCAAATGGTTTTTAAACAATATTTGACGTAAATAAGTAAGTTCTACATTATTTATTGTCATTAATACAATTATAATAGGTAAAGGTATTTTTAGCAAGCAAAAATATTGTTAAAGCTAATGGAAATGTATCTATACATACCTAAAAAGTTACCTATAGGTAACTTTTTAGGTATGCATACCTACAAAGTTACCCTTCCCTATCCCTGCTTAAAATACCCCATAGAGACCTTTATAAAATAATCTATCGGGCACTACCGGATTCAATATGTGCATTTGTCCATGTTTTTTTCCGGATACGGCCCGATAGAAAATTTATAGGAAATTATCTATAGGCACATCATAACTTTTACATTTTCCCTATTGAGAACGATAGGAAATAACTCAATGAAGGATATATAGGGATATCCCTATAGAAAAACCATAAAACATTTGACAAAATTTTATTAAAACCTATGGGGTCCTATGGGGGAAAACTAATTTCTACATTTATGTGTATTTTCCCTTGATTTATTTGCTATTGGTTTCGAAACCAATAGCAAATAAATCAAGGGTGGATTTCCCTATAGAACAACCATAAATCCCAACTATGGGTTCTATACAAACCGATACACCCTATAGAAACACCATACATTTTGATATAAATCTATCGTTTTGAACAGGGTCTCTATGGGGTATTTTAAGAAGGGATTTTGTAATTATCACAATAAATAAAAAAACTGCAATACCTACACATTCTGCACTTTAATTTATATTTTCAAATAATTTTAATTATTACGTAAAGCTTTTTGGCCATTTTGGACACCTTGGTAATATTTACAAATTTTAATTTGCTCAAAAAATGCTAATATTTATTTTTTCATTAAGAAATAAAAATCCACACAAAACTCCTTTCCCTATCAAAAGCGATATTTAATACTTGAACAACCCTGAAGTGAATATTTAAATAAAACAAACTATTGTATCTATTTTTTTTTTAATATAAAATAATCAATCATACAATATAATTTTAATACATGTTGTGATGTTTTTAATTTTTTACATAATAAGTATACATAGCCAAATAATGTTATTACTATATATATATATATACTATACTATATACTACGAGCCCTAACCACATAATGTTCGGACACTTCATAATTTATACAGAAATTTTTTTCGTGAATACTATGTCAAAATTATTAGAAGTTATGAAAAATTCAGCTTATTTTGGCATATACCCCTCGAAGCGATTTTTATTTTTAAAAAGTTTACCTTTTATTTTTAGCTTTTAAAAAAAGGCTAACTTTTTAACTTTTTTTTGTATGAGTAAAAAAAGTTATAAATGGACCCATTAAAAAGAGCATAAAATATTATACAAACCCTGAAAATTTGGTAAAAAATAAATAAGTTATAAAAAAGTATAAGTAATTTAAAAATGCTATTTTTAAAGAGTTTTTGCAATTTTCTTAGGAAACGGGAGATTTTGCAGATATATATATCGCTATAACTTTCTTATTATTTATACAATTTTTACCAAATTTTCAGGGTTTGTATAATATTTTATGTTCTTTTGAATGGGCCCATTTATAACTTTTTTTACTCATGCAAAAAAAAGTTAAAAAGTTAGCCTTTTTTTAAAAGCTAAAAATGAAAGGTAAACTTTTTAAAAATAAAAATCGCTTCGAGGGGTATATGCCAAAATAAGCTGAATTTTTCATAACTTCTAATAATTTTGAGATAGTATTCACGAAAAAAATTTCTGTAGGTATAAATTATGAAGTGTCCGAACATTATGTGGTTAGGGCTCGTATAATTATAGGGCTGGGTGATTATGGAAATTCATAATCGATTATTGATTATATAAAATAATCGATTATTGATTCTTCTTGGATTGGAAATTTCCTCTGTGCTCATCACCAGGGTCCATGCATTTAAATATTTGGGATCATCATCACTCATTATGTATTGTGCTTCAATAGGACCTCCTAATTTTTCCTTGAGTCCATTAAAAAATACTTTCGGGATTTTTTTATCCATTCTGCTAGAAAGTAAAAATGCAACAGGAAAACCCATGTTGTTCTCATCTTTAATTAGCACAATGGTTAAATCCCAATTTCTATGATTAGTGCCATGTGTCCCATCAATGCAAATATTTTTTTTAAATTCCCTTAGTTTTCTTTTCATTATCCCATTCATATATCCCAAGGCAAAATCTTCATCCTTCAATCCTGGAAAATTCATTCCTAAAAATGATATTTTTGTGAGAAACCCCATAATGTATTTAATAATCCAATTTCTTAGGTACCTATTTAATTAAATAAAAATGCATCATTCCTTCCCTGTTGATTCCATTCCTCAACTTTCAAAGATACAGCAATCATATCATCAGCATGCCTTTTTTTATCAATTTTATATTTTTGGATTAAATATCACCCCTTGTATCCTTTCCAAAGTATGGTTACTAACCATTCTAGCATTTTTGATTATTCTTTGGCTTGTTACACCTGCATTTAATTTTTCCACACAAAACATTTTGTTCACTTTTTGACAGTCGTTTAGTCCGTAGGTCATCCTCATGTCCCACATGTGTCTCAAAAAAAGTTACTGTAACATATCCTAAAAAAACATAGATTTGAAACATATGTAGGTAAATGAATTTATTTTCTAATTATTACATATTGCTAAAATAGATTTAAATATTTACCACTGGTAGAAATTTTTGCAGTTATATTTGAGGGGCATATTCCATGAATCCTAATACTTCCTTTGGCTTTTAAACTACGTTGAGTAGCAGTACTACTAAATCCTAAACAAGAGATAATAAGTAATGTTAAATACTGCGAATAAAGCATACAACCTGCACAGTTACTTCTATTGCACTTGTAATACCAATGTTCTTCTCCATTTGGCCTTTTATTTTTCCTATGACAAGCATAATCAACTTCCCTTTTTTCTAGTGTTCTTCAGATTTCAAATTCTTTAATGTTATTAAAGTTCAAAGTAGAAACCTTAACAACAATGTCGTGAATATCTTTTAAATGCTTTACAAGCCTATGGCTTAAAAATGTTTCCCCTTCAGGGCATAGTGGGCATAAAATTCGAGGCGTTGTTTTATTCTCCACTGGCTTATTGTGGACTCGCTTTAGATGATCATTTTTGGAAGAGATACTGCAAAATTCCATCTCACAATGCTCACAAATTTTGGGATTTGTTTGCCTACAAAGTAAACATTTAATTTTTAATTTAACTTATTTGTGTAAACTTACTTATTTAAATCCATATTAAAGAATATATATTGAATATGCACAAATTTATAGTCTATAAAGCACAGAAAAACTCAAAAATCGAATAGAGTAACAATAGTTACACCTTAACACTAAAAACACAACTATTAAGTGAAAAACACAGAAAAGCCACACTTGAAGCAAGCAAACTACGTGACAAAACAAATGTGAAAATTGCTGCCAAGATATTGAGGTTATGTTTGCAAATTACCCGCGGCCCAGCATGCACTACGGCAACACTGCATCGCTGCAGCCTTCTAATTGGTCGTCGATGGGTTACTTTTAATGTATCCTAAAAAAAACAAGGTAGGTATCATTTTGTGTTATTTTTAACAAATCAAATATGATCACTTTCCAGACTCTTGCATTTTTTTAAAAACACTTGTCATAGCACCAAAATAAATCAATTGTCCCACACTCACATGGATTTAAGACATATGCTCGAAAATAATGAACAAAGTAAGCTATTTTTGTAATTAAAATATTCTTACACTAGTGAAATAATAAAAAAAATAGGAAACAATTGAATTGGTGAGATTAAGAACAGTACAAGCCCAAAAATTTTATTTTACATTTTCTAAAATCAATTTAAAAGTTTAAAATGCTTTTTTGTGAGGGAGATATACATTATTTTAGAAAATATTATTATTAAAATTCATAAAATAATTGAAATATTCTCACAAAAATGCATTTTGAACTATAAAACTGATTTCATACATAAATATCATTTTAAACATTGTTTACATATTTGGAATTAAATTTTAAAGGCAAATACGTTAAAGAAGTATCGCTAGTAGCGCCACCACTCGGCTGGTATCATCATAACAAAAGTAGAACTTTTGATAATCAGCTGTCAAACTCGTGTGTTACAAACGAGTGTTTTTGAGAATAAAGCCGGAAAATGTTAAAAAAATATCGAAAAAAAACGATTTGATGTGTTGTTGGGTGTATTTTAAGAGGTTTTGGGTTTTCCAATAAAAAGTGTTAATCCGAATGAAAAAATAAATTTCATACAGTCCCTGTAAATATAAATTGTATCTATTAGATACAATAAATAGGTAC